TAATAATAGAAATTGAGAAATGTTGCAATCCTATAGTAGACGGAGAGGATTAGAGGATACATAATACCCCATAATCAATCTAGAAGAAGACTAATTCATAGAATTGTGTCAATTCTTCATAATGGGTCATAGTTTTCTTACCTAAGCTTGTCAGTAACACCGTATAATCCTATGTAAGAGGAATATTGAAACAGGAAAATCAATTTACAGAAACAAACAAAAGCGAAATTCTTCACATTCTAACACAGTGTTTCTCAACCTTGGCAACTTGAAGATGTCTGGACTTCAACTCCCAGAATTCTCCAGCCAGCGAATGCTGGCTGGGGAATTCTGGGAGTTGAAGTCCAGACATCTTCAAGTTGCCAAGGTTGAGAAACACTGTTCTAACAGATGTGAAATCTAGAAGATGCAAAATAATTGACTACAATAAAATTACTCTTATCAGGATGGGAGTAAAAATTATCTAACCACTGTAGAAGAACCTCACAGTAAATCTTATGTTCTGTTTTCCAAGAGGATTTATGTAAGAAAATGTATATGGTCTCCCAACTCACTCTCTCGGGTATTCTGGGTGGCTTACAAAGCTAAAAATCCAATATAAAAAACAGTAAAAAGCAATAGTTTCCCTTCACCCACCCCCACCCCCAGGTAGGAGAAATAGATGGCAGGTTAAAAGAAAGGAGATGCCGTGTGACATAGTTTCTCACCATACTAACTATGAAGGAGTTTCTCAATGAAGCATCTGCCAGCAACTCTGAGCAGGTAAATAACCTTAAACATCCTCCCTCCCAAACTTAATAACATTCTAAACAAGTCAGTAGATATATGTATAACATTTATACTACTATCAGGCCCAATGATCTGCAAAGCACACAGACATATACTGATAGCTCATGCAGCATCTTGGCCCAGTAGCCAAAAGCCAGCAGAGTTAGAGCCATCTGGAACTTAGAGGTGATACTGTTCCACAGGATAGGTGCAGTAAGAGAAGACGCCTCAGGGTCCAGCAAGACAGCAAAGACCATGCCAACCCAGTTTAATCTTTTCGAACCAGCCTAAATAATTAAGTCAAAGGGTTTCCTCGTATCCTCTTATCCTTCGCTATGAAGTGTTTTATAATTATCAATTGAAGCCTTAAATTGCATCCAGAAGCTAACCAATAATCAGTGAAGCATGCAAACTATTGGTATTACACAGCATACTGAGATAAATCTATAACTACCTATGCTGTTGCATTCTGGATAAGCTATAGCTTGAGTGGTCTTCAGGGACAGACCCATATTCAATATGCTTCACTCATCCAGGTTAGACATCATTAATGCCTGAGTGACTGTGACCAGAGCCAAGTCAGGAACTGCCAAAACAGATGAATCTCTACTAAGATAGATTTATGCTAAGCTTCTCAAAACCATGGGTTATCACCTTCTCCTTGAGCTGGAGACTTAAATCCAGGAGAAATTCACCAGAAGCACCATCTAGAAATAGTGATGGCAGATCTCTGGGAACAAAGCACAGTTACTTGGTCTTGCCCAAGTTAAGCCAGAGTCTATTCTTCCCCATCCAGATTATCGCATCTTCAGAAACTGAGTCAGAATTTTAATGGCATCATTTGAATGACCAGGAGCTGAGATACAGCTAGATATCAGCATACTGATACGCTAGTACTAGATCTCCACTTGTCCCAACAGTGACTGGAATTGGTCCTAAATACAGGAAGAATACCATTATAACAACTGTACTTCCCTTCCTAACAAGCTGACCTAGAAGGATAGCATCAATACTAGTGAAAGCTGCTGAGAAGTCAAGAAGGGCCAGGTTCGATGCCCTCATCCCTACCCACTCTAGGTCATCAAGTGCAATCATCTCATTACTATGATATACAAAGTCTGATACCCAACTGGAAGGAAACCAGATAATTCACCAAGACCAACTGAATATGCAGCCATCTCTTCAGAGGTCTTTATCAACCAGGAGACACATTGCTGTAATACACTCACAGCTCTGAGGATTCTGCCCATGTCCTTAAAGTTACAAACACAAACTCCCACTTCCCAATTAAACTATGTCACAATTACCTCAACAGGACCTGCAAAGACAGAATCCAAATCAGAGCAAATTCTAGATAAAATCAGATTTCATCAGTCAGATGTCTAGAATAATCCTCACAGCAGCTTTTATAATGTTCCTGTAATCCTTTTGTTCCAGCCCAGGTCATCCTACCTAAGGCTTCTGGCCGACACAATAAGAGCAGAAAAATAATTACATTTTGCTCTTCTTATTGCCACAGTATAATCCTTTGTATAAGCTCTTACCCATGTCCAGATGGACTCACTCCTAGTTTTCCTTCAGCAGTGCTCCAGGCATATCCTTTGTTGCTTCATTTCCCATGGTTTTTTGTGAAAAGCAGGGACTACTTCAAGGTTCAAAAGGAACCATATGCACAATCCAATATAAAGTTAGTTGTCAGTCTCATTCTTAAGAGAACTACACTCCAAAGAAATTTCTTCAGGTTTCCTCAGAAACCCAGAAGAGTCTATCAGGCATCTGTGGTGGATTAAATAAGTAGGTCCAGACTCCCTGAAATGGACAGCAATACTAGAGAACTCCAGACAAGCAATAAGATGGTCATGCCAAGGGACAGATGTTGATCCTGACCAGCTCATATTGGCACTCTGCTGACACAAAAGTCAGGTCTAACATGTGACATTTGGTGGGTGTTAAGCCCTCAATGATATGGATCAGGCACCTGGTAGCCATTATTTCCCAAGACAATCTTGAGTTCCTTATAACTATAGATAGTCATGTTTCTCGGCACCATTTTGCAGCTCTGTGAACACCTGTTTTGCATTGCTATAATCAGGCAGCAAGAACAGTATACTATTTCCTCTTTTTTGTCTAAATATAGAATATTATGTATTAGAGAAATTAAACTGATTGTTCTACTTATATTAGAGAGAAAATGGCCAAAATGTTTATTTCTTTTAGAAATTAGAAATGATTTAGAAATAATTTATTTCTCTAAGAAATGAGTTGCTAACTTTTTATAGTAAAACTATAATTTAGGATCAAGTTACAACTTAGAAGAAAATGAAGATGAATTATAGTAGGATACTAGAATGAGGCACTTGAAATTATGGCATCCAGCCACAGGTAGGGCCATGTTACTTTGTTGGAATTTTTGGAAATTATAATTATTAATACAGAGCCTGGTACAATCTCATTAATTTTTGGTTAAAATTATTTTTTCCTTTGTGTCTGGCTGTACTGGTACTCACAAGACCATTTTAATGCAACTTGACTATAAAAAGCTAATAGCAAACTCTATTAGCAAAATCTTGCTGACGTCTCTCTATTCTATTTTGAAAAAGCCAGGAGTCACCTTAAGCAACATACATTAGGATACTGATTTCCAAATGAATCCCTCTATATCAGTGGTTCTCAACCTGTGGTCTGCAGACATTTAGTGTGTGTGTGTGTGTTGCCAAAGGTCTAAGGCTTGAAATGATTTAAATCTTGAGTTACATCTTGATGGTCTGTGGCTGCAAAAGGTATTTAAATGGGGTCCGTGGTGAAGAAAAGGTTGAGAATCACTGCTCTATATCAAATTATGCCCACGTGGAAGAGCTTCATGGAATCCTTTAGTCACATGTTCCTCTTTCGCTCTCTTTATAAAGAATCTTGGATGATATTAATCTCATTTGGAAGAAATATCCTGGCAGAGAGTACTTATCTTCTTCCATTTTACAATGACTCTAATGAAACTTCACAGGTTGCTTGAATGTCTATTTGTCCCACACTCATTCACAGCTGAAGAATATTACATATATAAATAGCTGCTATATGTATTATTATTTTTAATAATAATTTCATTATATTTTAAAGTAATGTTATGTATTCTAATGTTTACGTTTGCGGGTAGTCTTCAATTTAGGATTATTCATTTAATAATGGTTCAAAGTTATGATAAATTGTATGTTTTTTATTGTTATGTATCTCCCTAAAAGATTTCAGTTGAATTGTACAGCTTATACATTATATTAAAGTTGGAAAAAAATCTGAAATAATTTATCTTGGTCTGATTGTTTTTTACATTATAAAAATCTGGCATTTTAACAGGATCTGTAGATTTTTAAATATCCACTTTATGTCTATATGTATGTACTGTATTTCTCAAAGTATAAGACGCACCTAGATTTTAGAGAAGGAAAACAAGGAAAAAAGTATTCTGAACCAAATGATGTAGTTATATATTATTTAATAAAATACCAGTCTAGCAGAATTTTTATAACTATGTATACTTTTTACAACCATGTACCATACTTTTTACAACCATGTAAAGTCAACAGCGGTATTAAGAACCATCATCACTGTCATTAACAAATGAGGAGAGACTTCAAGGTTCAAGCACTCCTCTAATTTTCTGGAAAACCCAAGAACTCATTATCGTCGCTGGTGTCAGAGTTTAGGAAGCTCAGTTGCTCACAATCACTTTCTTCACTATCTTCATAAATTGCATCTTCTTCAGTTCCATCTAAGGCATTGCTAATGCTACATTTTTTGAAGGATTGTGTAACAGTTTCGTCCTTCACTGAATTCCATGATGATCCCATTCACAAACCTGAGTGATAGTGGGCTCCACATTAGTCTAGTGGGTGTCAAATCATGATTACCAGCAGCCATCCATTTGTTCCACTCTTCTCGCATGTAGACTTTGAATGGCTTGTTGATGGAAACATCAAGAGGTTGCAACTGGTGGTAAGACCCCCAGGAATTACAGCTAGATGAGTCTTCACTTCTTTGAATCTTTTCTTAGTGTTGTCACTAATATGTGCTCCAATAAAGCTATTTTTTCAGAAGCCCTCCAGAACATTTGGACCACACTTTTTCAATCCATACTTTCATTCCATCTTCGTCCATCCATCCTTTCTCATGGACATGCACAACAACACCTCTTGGAATCACTTCTTTTGGGAAGGTTCTCATTTTGAAATATTAACATTGGTGACAATTTGGTGCCGTCTGCACAGCAGGACAACACAACTGTGTAATGTGTTTCCTCATGTCCTGTGGTTTTCACAGTTATGCTTTTGGCACCTTTCACATCAACAGTCCTATTTGATGGCACATCAAAAGTTAGCGGGAGTTCATCCATATTCCCAATCTGGCAATCTCAAAATTATTTCTCTTCCTGGAGTCTATTACAAAAGTATGAAAAGACAGAATCTTAACTTCATACTCTTTTGGCATTCTTTGCACAATTTTAGTTTTGGTGCGCATAGCAAGGCCATATCGCCTCATAAATCTGAAGCACCACGATGGCGATCCAGTAAAATCCTGAATGCCTTTCTGGGTAGCAATGTGTTTGGCTTCATACATCACCATTTTTGTGGTGACTGCGAAGCCACTGTTCCGGTAACCTGCGATCCAGTCTCTTATGTCCTCCTCTAGCTGTGGCCACCTTGCAGGAAGCCCACGAAAGTTGTGCTTGCTTTTATCTTTTATAGCTTATCCACCTGTTTCCTCCACTCTCTTATCATTTTTTCAGTTGGAGGTGATCCAAAATGTTTCTCCCCTGCTCTGTTTCCATGTTCCTCAGCATATTTCATGACTTCCAGCTTGAAAGAGATTTTATATGCCTGCCTTTTTGGCTTTGACATTTTTCTGCAAGAAAGAATAATAATGTGTCCTTTATAACAATACAGTGCACTGTAGCTGAAACCACATCAATACATTCATACGCACACATTAGATCATTATACCCTTGCCCTAAACTATGGTAACCATAGTGAGCTGAGAATTTTAGGACATTGGTGATTCTTTTCCTCCCTAACCCTAACCAGCAAATAGGCAATAAGGCTTAATCTTACCCCTTACCCCTTGCAAACAGGCAATAAACCTTAATCCTAAACCCAACCTGCAAATAGGCAATAAGCCTTAAACCCTAAGACTAACCCATTACAAATGGGCTAACCTTAATCCTAAACCTAACCCAGGGGGTCTTCAAATTTAACAGCTTTAAGACTTGTGGACTTCAACTCCCAGAATTAGCAATAGCAATAGCAGTTAGACTTATATACCGCTTCATAGGGGTTTCAGCCCGCGCTAAGCAGTTTACAGAGTCAGCATATCGCCCCCCACAATCTGGGTCCTCATTTTACCCACCTCAGAAGGATGGAAGGCTGAGTCAACCTTGAGCCGGTG